CTGCGCCCGCGCTGCTGGCCAGGCCACCGTCCGGCTGCCGTGGCCCCGCGCGGCCATGGCGCTCAACAATTTCCTCCTGGCGCAGTGCGTGTGCTACTTCCTGGCCTTCCTCTTCAGCTTCGTGGTGGTGGTGCCGCTGTCCGAGAACGGGCACGACTTCCGCGGCCGCTGCCTGCTCTTCACCGAGGGCATGTGGCTGAGCGCCAACCTGACGGTGCAGGAGCGCGAGCGCTTCACCGTGCACGAGTGGGGCCCGCCGGCCGCCTGCCGCTTCAGCCTGCTCGCCAGCCTCCTGTCGCTGCTGCTGGCCGCCGCGCACGCCTGGCGCACGCTCTTCTTCCTCTGCAAGGGCCACGGGGAGTAAGTAGGCCGCCCTCGCGGCTCAGGGTCCCTTCCGGGCCCACAGCGCCCCGGGATGAGAGTGGCCTTTGGACCATGCTCACAAGGCAGGGCCTGCCCGGGCAGCATCCCCACTTCAGGGCACCTGACCCCTCCGTGCAATGTTGCAGCGTCATCCCGCCGCCCCGCGCCCTGCTTCCTCGGCGCAGCACCCTGGACAGCTCCCACGCGGGCGGCAGAAGGCGTCCTCTCGCCTGGTCTCTTGCGCTCACACCTGGGCTGTGGGCAGTGGAGAGTCGGGCAGGTGGGGGCTGGAGGTTAAAGCTGGCGTGGGTCAGTGCTTGACGCCCCCCTTTGCCACCCCCAGGCCACCCCTAGGCCACCCGCTGGCTCTGTTTCCCACTAGACTCCACCAGGTGCAGCATAGGCTGTGGCTTCCTGGATGGGGACAACTCACGATCCCATGGCCCCACTCGGGGATCTTCGGGGGACCCCGCACTCCTCTGCTTGAGGCCATGGTGCCCAGAAGCAGCCCCTCCGCTACCCCATAGGGGCCCCCAGGGGTCCAGGGTCCAGGGCTGCCTACATCCTGCAGTCCTGCCCTCCAGACCTACGCTTGCCCTGTACAGGATAGGGATGGTGGCGTAGTGAGTTAAATGTTGATCTGCTGAGGGAAACGCAGGAGTTTGAACCCGCCAACTGCTCTGGAAAGACTTACAGCCTCGGATCCGCGGGGCAGCTCCACTCTGTCCTGCAGGCCTGCTGGGAGTCAGACAGAGCGCTGGCGAGGTTGTGAGGTGTGGGTGTGGGGATGGGACTGGGCGTGGATTTGCCTAAGTGACTTTCCGCTCCTCTCAGGAGGTGGGAGGTGGAGTGAGGGGCTCTGAGGTGCAATGTGAGATGGAAAAGGTCAGACTGGGACTGCTGGGTGCTGAGCGCTGGTGTCCAGGCAGAAAGGTGTCTGCTCAGGGTTCTGGCCAGAATTCCGAAGTCAGGGTGCTGCTGGGGGCCCTCCGGGTCCAGCGGCTCTCCCTATTGCCCGGGCATGTGGATGCCCCACTTCAGTATCAGCCTCTTGTGTCGCCAGGCACTTCATGTGCCTTCCTTTTTTTTTTTTTAAAAAAAAAATTTATTTTATTAATTTT